GCTACTGCTACTGCTACTGCTACTGCTACTACACGCATCAAGATGGGAGTTTGTGTGGCCACTTCTTCTGGGCGGGCTTGCAACCCTTTAAGCGTTTTCCAGAGGAAACTTTTTCACATTACTTTTCGTTGACTGTCCAGCGCGGGCTACAGTAACACGCGTCGGGCCGCGCGCCGGGCCGCAAAAACCCGCAACGGGCCACGAACACACAACGGGCTATGCAAACACGCGACCGCGGAGGAGGACGAGGAGGAAGAGCAGGAGAAGGAGGATATTGATCGCCGCGTCGGTACGACACCACGGCCGAAAGAAGAGAGAGAGAGAGAGAGAGAGAGAGGGACAGGAGGAGGAGGAGTCTGGCGGAGGAGGAGGAGGAAGAGGAGGAGGAGGAGGAGGAGGAGGAGGAGGAAGAGGAGGAGGAGGAGGAGGAGGAGGAGGAGGAGGAGAGATGCGCGAGTGCCTTGCGTAGGGGGTTTGGACGCCTCATCTCCCCCAGGGCCGTGCACCCGTCTTTTCCGCCTTCGGCTCTCCTCCTGATCCCTCCCGCCTTATTTCTTTTCCCCCCGCTTGGCCAGAATAGGAGCCCCCCTCCGCGGCGGCTGAGTCGTTCGGCCACTGGGCGACGGCCCAACTCCAAGGGCTCAGGGTCCCCCCGAGGCGTGTGGGGTGGGGAGCCACTCGTCTGCCCTGGGCCCAGGATGAGGACGAAGAGGAGGGAACGCATCGACACACGAAAACGATGTTTGGCACAGTACCGCCGTCCGTCATTTGTCATCGTCGTACGACTCCCGCCACCAGCAATCACTGCCATCACCGATGACCATCCACCACTGTCGCCAGCACGTAATGAGAGTCTACATCGCGTCAACGTCATTGTCATCGCCATGCTCATCGCCGCTGGCTCAATTTTCGAGGTTTCCTTATGGGTGTGATTATTGTATTTAACCTACCAGAACTCACTTGCAAACATGATTCGTATGATGAGTGGCTTGTTTCTGTTGACGATGCGTGCGCCATTCCACCGACCCTCGAAACGGTAGACGGGGTGAGTGTAAGCTTGGCTCCACAGGTTGTCCGAGTAGGGTGAAGTGCAGGAGGGCGACGAAGAGCGATGTGATGCCCAGGAGAGGCAGGGATGCAAGGGGGGGAGAGCGGGCAGGATGTTGGGATATGTCGTGCCAACTTTCTCTGTGTTGTGCTCTCTCTCTCTCTCTTGGTGTATCTGGGGGGCCTCTTTTGTTCAACCCTCTTCTGTCGTTGGGTCTTGTACAGCGCACGCCGTTCACCGTTCTGTCACCCCAGAGATCACCAGACCGTGCTAATCCTTTCAGGCGATCGATGTCTCGCTGGCTGGCTGATGCGCTTTGCAAGATGTGCTGCTGGGTCCTCGCTTTTGGTCTGTCACGCCGCGTGTGTCCCTCCTTCCAGCCTCCCGCCGCCTCCCCCCCTCCTCGTTCAGCCTTTTCCTCTTCTGACCGCTGCTGCCGCCGCTGCGTCGGCACACTACTATCAGACACACGTTTTTCCTCCGACGCGCCAGTGGATCAATCCAGTAAGTAAAGTTCTGGAGATGCCAGCAGTGAAACTCGCTTCCTTGTGCAGCGCGTGGCAATGTGACGCTCGCAGATTCGCGCAGTGCCGATCCGGGGTCGAGAATCCAGGTGGTGCAGGCCAGAGCGAGGTTGTCTCTCTCTCACTCTCTATCCCTTTCCCTCTTTTTCATGTTTTTGTTTCGTTCTCTCTCTCTCTCTCTCTCTCTCTCTCTCTCTCTCTCTCACACCCACACCGCGCCCATCTCGGCCGCTACCCCTCACGCGGATCGCCGCCCCATGGCGGGAGCTCCGCCTGCGGATCCACTTGGGTCCCTCTTGCCCCAAGGCTTCTGGGCCTCGGCTGCCGCTTGGGCAGACGCGATGCCTTGCCGCCCCGGGCACAAGTTCCATCGCCTCGGTGGTCTGACCTTCCGACGCTGTGTACGTAGACCAGACCAGTCTCTTGGGCGGACTGGCCCGCGCGATCCACCGCTTCTCGGTAGTCTCAACTGCCCCCCCGGACTTCTTCGACTCCTGTTCCAGTTTCTGCCACGACGGCGCCGCGCCCTCCCGCCTCGCCAGCCAGACTTCTGAGCTCGCTTGGCCCCGTCCGAGCTCACCCGCTCCACGTCGTCAGCGTGCAGGTCGTCGTTGACTGCTTGCGCCAACTCGTCGTCCGAGTCTCTGGACTTGAGCTCCAGCGCTCCAGCTTGCACACTGTAAACTCGCTTCGCCGCTGTGCGCCTCCTGTGCCGCTGGACCGCTATGACCACGCGCCGCCGCCTCTGTCCGCTGGCATCATGCACTGTGGTGAACCTTCACTCCGCCGTTCTCTGCAGTCCTCCATCCCTCCCCTCGGGTCGCAGACAGAATCTGGCGAGCTGCCCCTCGTTCTCTCGCCAGCGGTGGCTCAACGACGGGGCCGCTCTGCCTTCGGCTCGTCTGGCGCGTCGCGTCGAGGCAGGCCTGCGCCATGGAGTCGTCGAGCTCTGCGGTCCTGCGGAGCTTCTCGTACCTGGTGAAGTTTCGTGTGTCTCCGACGCAGCTTGTCGCCAGCTCCTATGTTACTGCTCCGACGATTGCTGCCCCCATGCCCTCCTCGGCGCCGTTGTGGCACCTTTGTCTCTCCAGGGTTTCTTGTAGGCTTTTGACAATCTCACCCGTCCTCGACTCGGATTGATTCCAGTAGCGTTGACCTGCGACGATGGTGCTGTAGCCGTCTTCACCATTGATACAGATGCCGTCCTTGCTCTTGCTATCGCACGAGTCGCGGATAGTCGGTTGGCTCATCGCGTCCGTGGTTTCCTCACTCCAGCTCCTGAATGTGACCTGCTCGAGGAAAAACGCTCGGTTTCGTCCACGGCTCGCGCGGCTTTGCCAGCTCTGCGATATTATCCATCATGTCATCGACCGCGTGAGCGGCGCCCTCGGCATTCGGACAGGATCCTTGCCTCGTGTCCTTCTCGAACTGCCGTCCGGGTTGCGTTGCCGTGCGCGGCTGCCGTGAGGGTCCATCCTTTCCCAGCATCGTGGAACTCCTCCGCGTAGCTTTCGGGATACTGCGCCCACTCGGTAGATGTTGAAGGCTGACGCGTTTGTGCACTGCTGTCGTCCTCAGTCATGACGTGTGCGGACTCAGTCGTAGCGTTACGATCCATTCACCTTTTCCTTTGGATCCTCGTGGATTTCCTTTAGGTCCGCGTGGATTTCTTCGGGATCCATGCGGACCTCCTCTGTGCCGATCGCGCCCCCGTCAATCCTGAACTCTTCCAGCACAGCGTCGCGGGATGACCACTGTATGTCTTCCGTGCCCATCATGGGGATCTTCTGCATTGATGCCAAGATCGTCGTAGCAGGACTTCTCGCTTCCCAGGAGCGAGCTGCAACCAAGGCGTCCCGAAGGTCCTTCGTTGCAGTAAGTGTGGGCACCTGTCCTTCGATAGATGCCACTTCCACTTCCGAGTGCGTGCGGCTTGTGCGGCGTGTGCCTGCTGGTCTGCTCCGGGTAGCAGCGTTTTTTGTTTCATTGTGTCATCTTGACCCTGGCGGCTATCATCTCCAATTCCATTTCAGCCAGTCGGATCCATGCCGCTCGTCTCCAGGCCGTCGCCGTCACCGAGTCCGCGCATGCTGCCCAGCGCCCTTCACTGCCGTCAGATCCTCGGGGTCGACCCTTGTGGGGTAGCTGCCTTTTTGGATCTTCATCGTCCAGCAGATTGCGGTCCTGTCATCTTCTAGCTCGAGGTTGAGATTGCGCGTCGCGCCGTAATTCAATCCGCATGCCACCAACGTAATTGAAGCGCCGCCGACTGAACTGCACGTAGCCTGTTCTCCTGCGATCATCCGTCCCGCTGCCAGTGCCGTCGCCAAACATGCTGCCATCTGTCTCGACATCGGCTTGTCTCGGCCCGTTGCCCTTGCAGGGTCTGCCTTTCTCTTCTGGCCATGCCATCGTGTTCCGGTCTCGTCGGCGATCCGCTTGCGCTGTGTTGTTTTTGGTTGGGCACCGCGGGTCTTCAGCGGCAAGCTGCAAGCTGCATGTCCGAAGCGCTTGCAGTCCTGGCGCCCTGGTGGTGATGTGCCCGATCCTTGCGATCCGCCTCGCGACGGCCCTCTGCTCCTTGCCGCGGCTTTTGGGTTTCCCAGCCTCGGCCCTCGGCAGGGCCCGCGGGATGTGGCCTTCCTGGCTTGGAGCAGCGCAAGAAAGTCTGACACACGTGCCGCAGCCGGCCTGGGCGAGAGCTGGGCGGCCAGAGTTTTTTCCAGCGTTCGGTCCTTCTATGACCGTGTAGGCCGGGCTTCCGCATGTGTACTTTGCTTTGGCTACAGCTTTCATCATTCCAAGACCGCAATGATTGCGATGTTGCAGATACGGCGGAATAGGTTGAGCAGTATCCGATATGCGTGAAGGCGTGTTCCGTGCGATGACTTACACGGGTGGCCGCGGCGTAGTTTGGGTCCCTGTTTTAAGTTGCAAAGTTTAAAGCGGAAGAAGGGACCAGAACTACTTCGCCTAACGCCGCCAGCCGTACGTCATGTCAGAAATCTTGAGAGGACTGGGAGATTCACCGATCATGGCTGATGAGGCTTTTGTCACGGCGGGCTCCCGATCTTGCCCGCACATGGGGTTTCTTAGAGCCTCTTGACTCCTTCTCGAGGCCTCGTTGGGCGGGCTGGAGCCATTCTTGAACCGTCTTGTAGGGCATCTAGTGCATCCTGGAGGTATATCGGAGGCTAGATCCGGAGGCTCTGAGGGCCCGCGAGGTGCGTTGAGAACTTCGTGCCTCCCCCCGAAACGGGTCTTTGGACTCCCAGGGGGGGGGGAGGCAAGGGGAGGGAGACGGCCAAGAATCCCACATGCATTCTCGCCCTGGGTCAGCGGGGGTCGGCAGATACTTAGGCGTTGAAGTCCATGGTCTCCATCTGGTTCGGCCGTCTATCGCAAATGCTGTAGGCGGTGAAGGCACGATGCCCAGTTGTCGGGAGTACGCCATGAATATACTTGCTGCAGATTGGGAGTACAATGAGCACGAGCTTGCAGAATTACTCCCAGAGCAGGGCAAATGGGCGAAAGAGTCTGCAACCTCTTTCGCGAGAAAGCAGGTCGACGATTGGGATTCGCAAGGTCTTGACTACTGTCCCTTTTCCAGCGTTACAGACAGAAGAGTGGGCGCGGAGGCGATGAAGTCTCGCATTTCGCAAGGACACTGGACGTTTGTGCCCGAGCGTGAACTTGATGAGTGGTTTAGTGACTCAGAAATCAAAGCTTTACACGGTGAGGTTACTGGCGGGTGCCTTCCAGACGGGACCGGCCGCAGATGGCCAAGGAGCGTCGGCAGGGAGTCGATGCACTTGGCTTGGTCGTCTTGCTCGAAGCAGTCTGGTGGCTGCAAAACCATGCGTGATGTGGTTCATTGGATGACGACGCGTGGCCTGACTCGGCTGCTTCTCGTTGGAGATTCAATGATGGAGCAGTTTTGGGGCGCGGCGCAGTGCTCATTAGAGAAGGAAGACTGTACGGCTGTTGAAGCCCCCCCTGGCCACAAGAGAGTGTCTTGTCCCTCCAGGTCTGGCACAGGCCGAGCATTTGAGGAAATTGATTTCATCATGCTTCCAATGCACCGCGTTGAACAAGTATTCAATGAGCTTGCGCAACATCCGCTGGCCCACTGATTTCGATCGACCGTGAAATGCGTCGTGTAGGTTGGACATGGCGTTTCAAGGTTGGGTGTCGTCAGCCTAAGCCGCATTGGCGAAGGCGTAGGAGCGCCTTTCTCGGGAAACTGTTGGAAACTCGTTCGGGGTCTCGGAGGCCAGTGGGATTCTTCGGGTGTGGTCGGGCTATTTTAGGAGGCTGTTGAACGGTTGGGCAGGTGTGGTGGACTTGAGTCGTCAGTGGCCGTTTCCTAGGCTGTCTTGAGTTTCGTAGGTTGCTGTTGGAAGGGACAAGGGAGGAGGGAACCGGGAAGAGGGAGGAGCGATGAGCAAACATGAATGAGACGGGATGATGATGCTGCTGCTGATGATGATGACGACGATGCTGATGATGATGACGACGATGCTGATGATGAATGATGATGCTGATGATGATGCTGATGATGCTGATGATGCTGATGCTGATGATGCTGACGACGATGATGAAGATGAGGATGAGGACGAGGATGAGTATGAGGATGAGGAGGATGATGAGGATGAGGATGATGATGCTGATGCTGATGATGCTGCTGATGATGCTATGCTGCTGCTGATGATGCTGATGATGAGTCTGAGGATTATGATGATGATGCTGATACTGATGCTGCCAATGCTGATTCTGATGATGCTGATGATGCTGCTGCTGCTGATGATGATGATGTTGATTTTGTCGAATATTATGCTGATAATTCTGATGATGATGCTGATGATGCTGTTTATATGTATGCGTGTTCTAGTTATGCACATGTGCGTACAGACTGCATGCATGCATGCATGCACACATACATGTATACATTTACACATATATTACATAGAGGGGGATCTATACCTACAGAGAGAGAGATACATACTGAGAGAGAGAGGGAGAGGGAGAGAGGGGCAGATATATATATATATATATAGATTGATCCATATCTATATATATATATAAATATATGTTTGTATACATATGTATAGATATATACACATACATCTATGTAGAGGAGAGCGGAGAGACATATATATAGGGAGGGAGAGAGAGAGAGAGAGACATAGAGAAATAGCGAGAGAGAAAGAGATAGAGAGAGAGAGATAAATAAAGAGAAAGAGAGAGAGAGAGAGAGAGAGAGAGATAACGAGAGAGGGAGAGAGGGAGGAATGGAGGGAGACAGAAAGAGAGAGAGAGAGAGAGAGAGAGAGAGAGAGAGAGGGAGAGAGAGAAAACGAGACGAGAGAGAGGGAGGGAGGGAGGGAGGGAGGGAGAGAGACAGAAAGAGAGAGAGAGAGAGAGAAAACACATGAAAAGGCCTAGGGGGGAAGGGAATGTGCTGCCAGGATTCTTGGGGCCCTCTTGGGGCCCTTTCGTCTGTCTGGTGGATCTCTTGGGCCACCCTGGGCCGTCTTCGGGGCCTCTCTGGGCCCTCGTGGGCCGTCTTGGGTCGTTGTGAGACGTCTGAGCGCCATCTGAGAGCCTTCACGGGCTGATTTTGCGCCCTCCGAGGGCCGTCTTGAGCTGTTTCGGGCCGTCTGGGAGCGTTTTGAGTATCCTCAGGTTTCTCGTGGGCCGTCGGAGGTTACAGTCGGACCACATGATAAGAACCACTCTATGTTTTCCAGGGTGCCCTAGGTTTCTTTGGCTGGAGTTCGGTGTAGGAGGTCGTGGCAATATCGAAACATTGCACATTGTAGGGCACCCTGGGATCCTTGGGTGTCGGTGCGTTTCGGAGCGCGCGCCCGAACCTCCAACAAACTGCCGGGCATTCGGGGTACTTTGGGTTTCTTCGCCCGTCACTCCGGTTGTTCGTCCTGCGTTGCCCAATGTAATGTGTTGTTGCTGCCCAGGGTGCTGTCTGAGTATTCTTCGGGTACTTACTGTGGGTGTTGCCTGTATGTGTCTGGGATGCAGTCTGTGCGCTGTCTCGGTGCTGCCTGCTTTATTATCTCAGTACTGTTTGGGATGCCTGGCTGTTTTCTGAGGTTGTGTCTCAGTGCTGTTTGGGATGTACGCGGGAACGCGCGGGCGCGTACGCGCGCGCGCACTCTCGCGTGCGCAATACAAACATCAAAAGGTAATGAAAAGCCTAACGTCAACAGCTGATTGGTGAAAGCTCATTGCTTGACTTGCAGTCTGGGACCCACCATGGTATGGCATCTTGTAGCGACGCATTCTTCTTATAACGCGCGCGTGCGCGGCGTACGCTCGCGCGCTCTCGCGCGCGCAGTGCGAACATCATTTTGTACTGGCCAACTTGATTTCATGAACGGTGCAAACCATTCCTTTCATCCGTATTCTTGGATCCAACATGGGACACTATGTTGTAAGACAACGCGTTCTTCTTATTGCGCGCGCGCGCTCTCGCGTGCGCGGTGCACAAGCTAACAGCGAACTGCCAAATTAATTCCGAATTGCCAAGCGTCCCACTCGTGTTCTCAAGACCTCAACATGATCTGATGCGCTGTATCACGATCTAATTTCTTATTACGCGCGCGTGCGCGCGTACGCGCGCACGCACTGGCAATGAGAAACATGCATTGTGTCACAACAAAGAGTATGCATTTCAGTCTTAGAATGCAAGTGGCACAATTTGTTTTCACCGTAGACTTTTCGAACTTAATTTTGCCATTGTCTATTAATGTTTGTATTGCGCACGCGAGCGCGCGCGTGCACTCGCGCGCACTGAGAAACAGGCGTTTCTCTGCAATATGTTTATCGTTTTGGTTTCCAGAATGCAAGCGGAGCAGGTTTTTTTTTCACCAGTGAGTTTTCGAAGGGGAATGGGACATTGCCAATTGATTTTTGCATTGCGCAAGAGTGCGCGCGTATGCGCGCGTACGCGCGCACGTGCGCGCAAAAAGAAAACAGCGTTGTGTCATAATGCTTCATATCATGTTGACCCTCAGAGTACGTGAGAAACAATTGGCTGCCACCAGTCAGTGTTTGAGATAAAATACATAGATTATTTGGTTCTTGTGTAGTTGAAACCTCGGGTTGTTGTCTGGTTGTCTGGTTATTGCCTGAGGTGTTGGCGGTTTGGGTATACCTCGATGCCTGCTTGCTTGATGAATTGAAGGGGTTCGTGTTTGAGATCCGTTTTGCTTGCTTTTTCCTGACCCTGTTGGGGCCCGATGGTTCGATTTGATTTGCTTGCTGTTTTTCTCAAGCATCTTCCTCTGTCTTGTCGCCTCCCTGATGTTGCCCATCTATTCGCGGGCGCTCGCCAGTCTGGCAAGGCACCGGCACATTTCGGGGCGCATGCCTGGAAGCCGACTATGCAAGCGATCAAGAAACCGCTCGGGTCATGGTGCCCCGGGTTTCTTCGTTGCTTGCGGCCAGAATGCAAGAAACCCAGCCCTGTACCAAGAAACCTCGTCGGATTTCAGGGTTGGGTTTCTTGCGGTGGGTTTCTTGTGGATCAATTTGCCTTGTATCCTTTGGGCGGTGGCCCAGCCTTCCTGGGTGTCTCCGAAGCACTGCTGAGGCCCTCTTTGTTTAAAGTTGTGGGGAGTGAAGCATGCCGAACACCTTTCAGAGAGAGCGCGACTTCCTCCCCGGGCTCGTGTCCGCTCTGCGGTCGCTGCAGACGATACCAGCAGAGGGAGCTCGCAGGGGGAGTCAGCAGGGGGGAGCCAGCACGGGGAGCTGGCGGGAAGAGTTCGCAAGGGCGTCGGCGTCTCGTCGTCGTCCCTCCTATTTCGTCGCCGTCGTCGTCGTCGTCGTCGTCGTCGTCGTCGTCGTCGTCGTCGTCGTTGTCGTCGTCGTCGTCGTCGTCGTCGTCTTTTTGCCCGTCCCACCGGGCACGCGCGGGCACGCTCGCGGGCCCCCCTCCCTCGTCCTATCCGCTGCTGGAGAGGTCGGCGCACAGCGCCGTGGGCTGGCTCGCTCGAGCTCGAGTCTTGGCAGTCGTTTGTCCTCTACTTTCCTTTGCGCACGCATCGGCTGCAAGGCCACCGTTCACCACCACCACCGCTGCTGGAGGGCTCCGCGCATGCGGCCTTGCAGTGATCCTGGCTGCCTGGGTCTCCTTTGGGGCCGCTCGTGCGCTTCTTGGGGCAGGCCTGTCGCTGCGGTCCGCAGGCCCTCCCCGGGGCTCCTGGGCCGTCCAGGCCGGCCGTGCGGTGCCCGGGGCTCGCATCGGAGATTTTGGGGCACAGTGGGCGATCAGAAATTCCATGCCTCCTCTCGTTGTCATAAAAAGGAAGGCGGCCAGCTTTTGCCCACCCGCGGTCTCTTGGTCCCCCTTACAGCCGGTCAGGATCACAAGGACGAGTAGCTTCCAAAGGGCACCCTTTCATTCTTGCATCTTTGGCCCATCCGTAGCCACTATCGCTGGCCGGCTTCCACTTGGGCGCCAAAGGTCCTTGCATCCTTACCGCGCATTCCCATGACCCCGTCGTGCGCACCGGGCCGGATGACCGTCAAAAGACGACTCGTGATGAGAAGCCAGTCTCAGGGAAAAGGTCCATACCTCCAGGGGTTTACGTTGTGATCGCACAACTGCGCGAGCTGCTGGGCTGATCCGCGAGGGCAACCAGACATGGAGCCTGAGTCTTAGGCAGTCTTGGGGCTCTCTTGGCGCCTTCTTGGGGCCCTCTTGGCAGGTCCTGGGGCGATGTGGGGGGTCTCTTGGGCTATCTTGGGCGTTCGCCCGAAAATTCGCAGGCTGATCTAAGCACAGTTTTCTTTTGGGGTGGGTGCTTGTCTGGGGTGCTCTTAGGGGCCTCTCGAGGCATTATGGGGCCCTGTTTCCTGTTGGGCCGTCTTCGGGCCACCTTAGGCCGCCTTGAGGCCCTCTCGGGCCGCAGAAGGGCCGTCTTGAGGTTTGAGTATGGCCGCACGGGGCCTTCTTGGCGTCTTGGAGGCCGACCTGGGCCGTCTCGGCGGAACCCTGGGGGACATCTGGGAGATCCGGTCTGGACTTGGAGCCCGGCGGGGAGGCCAGGACACGCAGCGAAACCGCCTGGGGTCAGGCGCTTGGCGGCCATCTTCCCTGCCCGAGGTGGGTGGGGGGACGAAAATGGGAGAGGCAGCTCACCCGCCTGCTGATCCCAGGGGTCCGGTGGACTCGACAATGTAACTGCAGAGCTCGATCGTGCAGACATTGCCATCGTCAACCAGGGGCATCATGGGCCAGACCACATGGACGCCGTCATGAAGCTGATGGTTGAGAAGGCAAAGAAGAATGTGGGGACGCAGCGGAAGGTTTTCTGGTCACAATCAACGCAGCCCCATTTCCCTGGTGAGGACGGCAGCTTCAAAGAGAGAGTCGCTCCAAACGACGTTGACTTCAACCAAGTTGACCCTTCGCTTATGTTGTGTGGCCCCTTCAAGAACGACAGCAGGCAGTTCAGCGCAAACGCAGATGCAGAAGCACTGTTGAAACAAATCGATGATAAGAGCAATGTGCGCGTGCTACCATTTCATCAGTTTAGCGCTGGCCGGTGGGACATGCACGGCAACTGGGGCGGAAGGCGCGACGAGGCAGGGACCAAAGTGGACGTGGATGCCCGTCGCTTGCACTGGCAAAATGACTGTCTACACTTCGTCTACTCGCCAACCTTCTACGCGCCCTACTTTGGATTGCTCAACGAGGCCCTCGAACGGTGAGTCGCGGCAGAGGGCGCATGAGCTTGAGCGTGGCCAGGGAAGAGGCGGGCAGTTTGTAATTAAAAAGGCGGTAATTCTGCCTCCTGTACTCTTTCCGCATGCGTGCGGGCTAGGAGGAGGGGGAGGAGGAGGAGGAGGAGGAGGAGGAGGAGGAGGAGGAGGAGGAGGAGGAGGAGGAGGAGGAGGGAGGGAGGAGGAGGAGGAGGAGAGGAGGAGGAGGAGGAGGAGGAGGAGGAGAGAGGAGGAAGGGAGGAGGAGGAGGAGGAGGAGGAGTAGGAGGAGGAGGAGGAGGAGGAGGAGGAGGAGGAGGAGGAGTAGGAGGGGGAGAGAGGCAGTATGATGAAGAACGAGTACCGAGGAGGAGGAGGAGGAGGAGGAGGAGGAGGAGGAGGAGGAGGAGGAGGAGGAAGGAGGAGGAGGAGGAGGAGGAGGAAAGGGGGTGGAAGAGGAAACGCCCTAGACCACTTACGCTCAGAGGGCTGGTGGGATTCCGGGGAGGCCCAGATGGCCTCCAGAGCACTCCTTCACGAGGCACAGACGGCCCGAGGGGCTCCAACAAGGCGCGAAAAGCTGGGGACACTTCGGGCACTGCCAGGGACACCTTCCCACCACTCCGACGTTACTTTTTTCCTCCCAACGTAGACTCACGGAGGTCAGGACCTTTTTCCCTGCGGGGCCGTTTTTTCATCCCAACTGATGTTTTGACTGTCTTGGGGCTTGGTAAGGCCCCTTCCAGCAGCCCAATATACCAAATATTTACTGTCGTGATTTTTCCTCGACGCGAGGACCCAGGCATCCGACGACCTGATGTTTCCAGCCCGCGCCCCACAGGTCCCGACTCCCTCCGCGGGGGTAGACTTGCGCCCCAGACCCGTGCCTCATGGTCCCAGGGCCCGATCACGGGCTGGGGAGGTCTACTGTCAGGAGGTTTTGCTCAGCGTGTCGCGCACGATTCGGCGCGGCACGCTCACCTTCCCAAGCGTCAACGTCCCGAGCCTTTCCCAGCACAGTCTCTGCGACGGCATGCTTGTAACGGGATGGCGGCAATGAGCTTACCCAAGGCTCAATGTTTTTTGCAGCGGAATGGTGGCATTTGATTCACTGAAGGCAGTTTCATTCCCGACCATCCTGTGGTGTTGGGTCCTCGTTCTTCAGAGACAGTGCCCTGCGTCTTCTCCTCCTCCTCCTCCTCCTCTTCCTCCCTCCTCCCCCTCACCTTCCCTCTGCCCTCCGCACGTCCATTTCGGCACCCCCCTCACACGTTCCGTGGGCCCATAGGGAGCTCCAACGAGGGCACAAATGGCAGAGTTCACATGGCGGCCCCGCACCCCTTTCGGCACACTCCTCACACGTTTCGTGGCCCCACAGGAAGCTTCACCGAAGGCTCCAGTGGCAGCGTTCGCATGGCGGCCCTGCGCCCTTTTCGGCACACCCCTCCTCTCACGATTCGTTGCTCCTATGAGACCTCCACTGAAGGTCTCAATGGCAGCATTCGCCTGGCGGCCCCGCGCCCATTCCGGCACTCCTTACACGATTCGTGGCCCCATAGGGGGCTCAGCTTCCTTCGTCCCACCTTCCTTGCGGTAACCACGCCTGCATTTGGGTGGGTCTTTTGCCCGGGTAATCCGCACCAAGGGCACACATTCTTCTGAAGGTATTATTCCCAACCGTCCTGCGGTGTTGGGTCCTCCTTTTTTCAGTGCCTTGTGCTTTCTCCTTCCTTCTCCTCCTCCCTCCTCCTCCCTCCTCCCTTCTCCCATCCGTACCTCTGCCCTCCGGATATCAAGTTCGACTCACTCTCACACGCTTCGTGGCCCTAAGAGGAGCTTCACCGAACGCACCAGTGGCAGCGTTCGCATGGCGGCACCACGCCCACTTCGGCACACCCCTTACCCGTTTCGTGGCCCCATAGGGAGTTCCGCTGAAGGCCTCAGTGGCAGCGTTCGCATGGCGGCCCTGCGCCAATTTCGGGACCCCCCTCAAACGTTTCGTGGTCCCATGCGTAGGCCTCATAAGTTTCGTGGCCCCATAGGGAGCTGCATGAAAGGCCCCAGTGGCAGCGTTCGCATGGCGGCCCCGCGCCCCTTTCGGCACACTTCTTACACATTTCGGGGCCCCATGTGGAGCTGCACCGAAGGCATCAATGGCAGCGTTCGCCTGGCGGCCCTCACACATTTCTGCACACCCTCACACGTTTTGTGGTCCCATAGGGAGCTCCATTGACTGCTCCAGTGGCAGCGTTCGCCTGGCGGCCCCGCACCCACTTCGGCACACCCCTTACCCGTTTCGTGGCCCCATAGAGAGTTCCGCTGAAGGCCTCAGTGGCAGCGTTCGCATGGCGGCCTTGCACCAATTTCGGGACCCCCCTCAAACATTTCGTGGCCCCATATGGAGCTGCACCGAAGGCCCCAGTGGCAGCGTTCACATTGCGGCCCCGCACCCATGTCGGCACACGCCTCGCACGTTTCGTGGCCCAAAGGGGAGCTGCACCGAAGGCCCCAGTGGCAGCGTTCGCCTAGCGGCCCCGCGCCCATTTCGGGACACCCCTCACACGTTTCGTTACCCCTAAGGGACCTCCAGCGAAGACAGTACTCACAACTGCGTTACTCACAACTGCGTACTGTTGGGCCCCTCGCCAGCATCGATGCTTCTTGCAACGGGATGGCGGCAATGCGCTCACTGAAGGCAAGCATTGTTGCCTTCAGTGAGCTCGCTGCCAGGGCTCCCTCAGCACAGCGCAGCGGCACGCCATCCGCTCGCTGGGCACAGCGCGTCGCTGGGGCCGCCGCCACGATGCGCCGAGCAGAACTTCCGGTCGGGAACTTTTGTGGACAGCGTGTCGCTCCGCCGGTTCCAGCCCACCACGCCTCGGCGCGACACGCTATCCACGCTGCGCTCCCGAGGCGTCCACGCCCCGAGCCTCTCCCCGCCTCCCGCCCCGCGGAGCGCAGGGCGACGCGCCGCCCGCTCGCAGGGCACAGCGTGTCGCCGGGGCCGCCGCGGCGACACGCCGAGCCAAAGCTCCCGCCCGCATCCGCTCGCAGGCCACAGCGCGTCGCCGGGGCCGCCGCAGCGGCACGCCGAGCAGAAGCTGCCGGCCGCGCAGGGGCGCGGCGCCCCCCCGGCGTCCAGGCGGGGAGACGGTGCGCGCGGCCCGCGCCCAGGGCTCGGCATCGGCGGCTCGCTGCCCGTGGTCTACTCGCTCGTAGGCCGCCTGGCGGGGCCTCCCTTCGGCAGCGCCGCCGCGCTCGTGCGCGCCGCCGCGGTCGTCCGCGCCGCTCTCGAAGCAGTCCTCGCAGACGCCGTCCAGAGCCGACGTCGTCGTCGCCGTCGGGCGCCACCGTCCTCGTCGACGTCGTCCTCGTCGAAGTCGTGCTGGCTGCCGTCGTCCTGGCCGACGACGTCCTGTCGGCGGCGAGCCCGGGGGAGGCAGTGAGGGGGCTCAAGTTTCGAGGTTCTCGAACGTTTTCGTCGACTGGCCTGGCGCATTTTCCAGCCCCAGGATGCGTTCCAGCACCTGCGCCTCGCCGAAAGCGTTCTAGGGACACCTGGATCGTCCCGAACGGCCGCTGGAGGCCCGGGTGATGGCCCAAAAGCGACCAGCAGAGGGGGTGGGCCTTCTCAGAAGGCTCGGAAGGCTTCGGGCCTGCTGAGAAGTTTTTGAGCCTGCCTCGAAGAATGAATGAATGAAGCCGCGTGTCCGTAGGCACATGAGCAATGGCACGAGCGTGCGCTAGACAGTATACTTGCGCACTGCCGCTTTTCAGGCTTCTGCTGTCAAAATGCCAAAATAACTTATATGACAACCGACATCACGACAGGTATGCCGCGCATGCTTATACAACTCTGACGCCCACGCCTGCCAGGGCCTGCCCCTCTTTCGGCGGCCAGGCTGCTGTGCCAAGTCGGAGGAGGAAGGTTGGAAAACGATCTGCTGATAGGATGGTCGTTGCACTTGCGCGCAAGATCACCGAACAAAATCAATTGCCGCTGCAGCAAAAGGTCGATCAGCTTGGCCCGCCGGGATCGCCGAAGAACCGCGGCGTTGGGGACGCGACTGGCATATGAATGCGCTATGCCAAGAATTTTACGCAGGCAGCGCGCCTGAAATGCATTCAACCTCGCTTCGCGCTTGCGTAACCAAGACGTATGCGGATTATACAAGAGCGTCGACTCAACGCATGCCGCGTATGTAATGAGCTTCTTCCTGGTCGACAAGGAAGAATGAGACCATATGCGCTGTAAGGAATCGAAAACTGATCGGACGAGGCCGATCCGCCGGCTCAGTTCCGCTCCGACGGACCCGTCGGATGGCAGGACGCTCCCCAGGTAGACTATGCTCTTCTTTGCTGGGATGGGGCAGCCGTCAGGCTTGAGCATGGCAGTGCACCATGTGGCCATGAGCTCCAGTTTCTCCCAGTTATACTGCAGGCCGTAGTTGGCGCCAGCATCCGAGATGGCCTTCATGTACAGCTCCGCCTCCACAGCGCCCGGGGCGACAATCAGCGCGTCGTCCGTGTACACCAGGTCGCTGACGTCGCCAGCAGCGTCGCCGAGCGAGGCCTTCGCGTATCGGAGGAGGACAGCCATCAGGATGGCAAATGAGAGCGGCGATGAGGCACAACCCTGGCAAATGCCAGCCTGTTGCTCCCGCTGCCCCGAGGTTTTGTCTGCCTCGCGAACTGCGAAATGCCTGTTGGTGTAGATCGCCTGGACAATCTCTAACATCTTGTCTGGCAGCCCGAAGGGGCAGAGGGCTGTGACGAGAGCATCGGGCATGACGCTATCAAAAGCCGTTGCCCAGTCTAGCGCAAGAAGTACCAGCGGCTTGTCCTGCCGCGAAAACGCCTCCTCCAATTTGCACCTCGCAATGAAGATGGCATCGTTGGTGCCGTGTCTGGACTTAAACCAGAACTGCGTCTGCCAAATTTTGTCTTCGGCCCCAGCTCGCTTCAGGCGGTGCAGGAGAAGGGCCGCGAAGAGCTTATACCCAGCCTGCAGCAAGCAGATTGGCCTGTAGTTCTGGCACGCGGCTGGGTCGCCCTTCTTGAAGATGGAGATCACCAAGGGCTCGTGCCAGCTGTGCGGGATCTCGCCGTCTTCCCAGCATCTCTGACACAACGAAACGGCCCAAGCTCGCGCTGGTGAGTCTCGGCGACAGATAACCTTCCAGAAATCTCCAGGGATAGCGTCTGAACCACAAGCCTTCTCCCACTTCATCGCTTTAACGCTTTGACGACCTCCCATTCCTGTACAGGTCCGACTTCCACCGGAAGAGCGGGGCCCAGAATAGCTGCCTGCTGCATGGGCGTGGTCTTCCGCGCGGCCCCTTGCACGCTGCTGAGATAGTCTGCCATTGCCTCCTGGCGGGAGTCGGAGTCGACTGGCCCGCCCTGCAAATCTCTCAGCCGGCCCCGCTTTGGTGCAAACCCTTTTCTCAATTTACGAATTTGGCCCCAATCGCCGGTAGCGAGCAGGTGCGCCTGCCCCGAAGGCGCAGACAAATTCTCAGGAGGCCGGGGGGCCTCCGAGAAGCCCCGCCGCATGCTGAGAAGGTCTGCCCCCTCTCACTTCCTCCCTGGGCGCGCGCCACCGATGCTTTCGAAGAACAAAGATTGAACGTGCTTTCTTGGAGGTCCGCGCGGATTTTGGGGTCGGCGTCCAGGCCCCCCTGGGAATGGGGCCTCCAGAGTGGATCGCAGAACTCCGCGCGGACCTCCGAGCAGCTATGTTTATGCCGTGTTGTTGTTCCTCAGTCCCTGCGGTCAGGTCAGGGCACCCTGAACGGGGACTTTTCTAAATCAGCGAATTTTCAGGTCTCCGACGATCTGACTTTTGCAATCCTGGTGTTTTCCTAGGGTTTGGCCTCTGGGGCTTGTTATCGGTCCCCAGGGGCATCAAAAATGGATCCAGGTCAGAAAAGTACTTTTGGGGCAAAGGTCGGGAGTTTTAGGGCCGCGGATTGAACCAAGTGAGATTGGCGGATGTCAGGGTTGGCGCGCCTATTGAAAATGCAGCCGTGTGTCGAACCATTCTCGATTGTTCGTTCTCTCCATGTGGGATCTTCAAGCTCCTGGTCGGCAATGTCCTGGTTTGGGGGCCCTGATTCCTGATCAGGCAGCGACTGCGTGGTGCCGCCGCCGCCGCCCCCGCCGCCTCCCGCGCCGCCCGCCCGCTGCCGCCGTCGTCGTCGTCGTCGTCGTCGTCGTCGTCGTCGTCGTCGTCGTCGTCCCCGTCCCCGTCCCCGTCGTCGTCGTCGTCGTCGTCGTCGTCGTCGTCGTCGTCGTCGTCTTCGTTGTCGTCGTCGTCGTCGTCGTCGTCGTCTTCGTCGTGGTCGTCGTCGTCTTCGTCGTCGTCGTCGTCGTCGTCGCCTTCGTCGTCGTCGTCGCTGCCGCCGTCGTCGTCGTCGTCGTCGTCGTCGTCGTCGTCGTCGTCGTCGTCCCCGTCGTCGTCGTCGTCCCCGTCGTCGTCGTCGTCGTCGTCGTCGTCGTCGTCGTCGTCGTCGCCTTTGTCGTCGTCGTCGTCGTCGTCGTCGTCGTTGTCTTCGCCGTCGTCGTCGCCGTCGGTCAGAACCCAGGGCCGTCAGAGAAGGATTCGGAGCGAGAAACTGTCCCTGTTGGAGGGGGGTCGAGACCTCTCCCTGCGCGGATTGCAGAACTTCGGGTCGGGACTTCTTGTGGACAGCGTGTCGCTCCGCCGGTTCCGGCCCACCACGCCTCGGCGCGACACGCTATCCACGCCGCGCTCCCGAGGGGTCCACGCCCCGAGCCTCTCCCCGCCTCCCGCCCCGCGGAGCGCAGGGCGACGCGCCGTTCGCTCGCAACAGCGAGTCGCCGGGGCCGCCGCGGCGATACGCTGAGCAAGAGTTCCCGCCCGTACCCGCCCAGTTGTCTAGGTCCCCTCGTCTCGGGGGTAACCAAAGAGGGGGATAGGCATAGGGGAGGATGCATCGACCCCCAATCTCGCCCATTCATCGCCGATACGGGCCCGAAAGCCCCAACCTGCCGGGGAAGGTGCGGATCTACTATCGGGGACCTATCGCCGATCTATCGGCGACGTATCGCCGATTCCAGGTCTATGTTCCCCCCCTTATGCCTATCCCCTCATCGTTGCCCCTCATCGTCGTGGACAGACCGCGCCCCCGTCTCAGGCGACTGGTACCCGGCCAGCCGGCGCGCCAGCGCCACGGCCTACGTCACCGCTGCCAGCGGCGCGGGGGTGTTCGCCGGCCAGGCGGGGCCGCGCTGGGGGAGGGCGGGCCTGCTGCGGGTGAGCACAGATTCGGCTACAAGTAGTAGTAGGTGATCGTTTCCTTATTCGTTGTTTTGCCGATCGTCGCGGGCCCTCGCACCCAGCCCCCAAGGAGTAAGTCTTGGCCGCTCTTGGCGCCTGTTTCAAGCAGGTGTAGTAAGCACGGCGGCCCCGCCTCCCCATAGGATTCCCCGTGGGAGCACTGTTCCAAACAGTCGCACTATGCAGAGGTCCGGAGCCAGACCCCCCCCTCCCCCCTCCTTCGCTCAACGTCGAAACGCCGAACAAGAGAACGTTCACTAAGAATAACCCTTTGCCGGAGTGACCTTGAGTGCGCGGCTTTCGGGGGGCGTGGGAGGCCCAAACCCAAGGCGCATGCCGCTATTGTCGCACCGAGTGCGTCGATCGGTGCGCCGCGCATCAAGGGTCACTCTTGCCTAGGGTCACTCTTCCGCGTAGCCGACAGATCTCAGACGACCTGATGTTGCAATCCCGGCGGTCCGCGGATTGAATAAACACATAGTCAGATGTCAGTGCCCAGGCGCTGCATTTTTTTGCGCACCAGGCGCAGTCAATGCCACAATCTACAAAAAACAAGGGCCCATTGGATCAGTGCGACAGCTACCGCCCTATCAGTTTGCTGTGCGTTATGTGCAAATTGTTTGCGATTTTACTGCCCAATAGATTGCAGCAAGCAGAGGCCGAGGACGGATTGAGTGGACCACAGTATGGATTTAGACGGCGCAAAGGCACAACCGACGTCGTCCACGCCGCCCGCAGACATATAGAACTAGCACATGCCGCTCGCGATGGTGCCGTGGCCCTACTGGCGCTCGAATCGGAAAAGGCTTTTGACTCTACCACTGTGCACGCTCTTCTCGATGCACTTGCCGCATTTGGTGGGCCGAACTTTCATTCACTGTCCCTGGGTGCGTGGCTGGAATGGGATTCTGCGATGCGGATTTTGTTGTTGTTGTTGTTGTTGTTGTTGCTGTGGTTGAACATTATTAATTCTAAAGAATAATTATTGTTGGGCCCCCTGGTGCGCGCCCCCCCTGCGCCGCCTAGGCCGCAGCTACATTTTCATCATTTTCGTGAGGAAGCCTCAGGTAATTCGAGGTGATCAAGATCCGGTTGTTTTGTTGTAATCCGCTTTCCCTTGCAAAAAACACTATAAAATGACATTTCTTGTTCTAATATAATCAAATTTCAAGAATCCCTTGCAAAAAATAAGGTAAAGTGGACATTCGCGCGCGCAAGACGAAATCCTTCCAAAAGCTTAGTGTTCGGAGCGATTTTAACATAAAAACATCAAAAAACCAATGGTTTTTCAACAAAAAAATGTCAAAATCTCATCCCGCGCGCTCTTGCGGATTCGTAGGAAACCCAACACTTTTTAAACATTTCTGTCAAACGGGCTTTTGCGAGCAACTTTTTCGAACTTCTGCGACAACGGTTGCGCACCTGCCAGGGCCATCATCCCTGTCAAATAATACCATGCGGGACACATTCGTTTTTTCTTCGCGCGCGCACGCCGAAATCTCCAAAAACCATTGGGTTCTGTGGGTGTGTACCCCACGCCAGTGTAGTAGCCACGGTCGTCCGCACGCCACGAAGTGAAGTGTCCCAACGTCATAGGGCGGGAAGCTGGGTTTGGGTGGTCGCGAAGAGTCGTTTGGATATTTGGTAGAGCTTGTAATGCCCCCCCACGAAGTGGGGGTATTGCCTGGTGTCGTATGAAAACCCTGGCACTGGGGAGAACACCACGCGTTCGGGTAAAATGATTGTTGTTGTTGTTGTTGCTGTTGTTGTTGTTGTTGCTGCTGCTGTTGTTATTGTTGTTCTTGTTGTTGTTGTTGATGATGTTTTTGTTATTGTTGTTGTTATTGTTGTTGTTGTTGCTGTTGCTGCTGCTGCTGTTGCTGCTGCTGCTGCTGTTGTTGTTGTTGTTGTTGTTGCTGCTGTTGCTGCTGCTGCTGTTGTTGCTGTTGTTGTTGTAGTGGTTGTTGTTGTTGTTGCGGTTGTTGTTGTTGTTGTTGTTGTTGTTGTTGTTGTTGTTGTTGTTGTTGGTGTTGTTTTTGTTGTTGTTGTTGAGGAGGACGTGATTCTGGTACCCCGGGATGGGTTGCGGGGGGTAGGGGGGTCGCAACAGCAACCGCGCACCGCTCGAGCGGGAGCGCTTGGGGGGGGGGCGCAACAGGGCGGAGGGAAGCTCAACCAACGGCGCAATTGGGCGGGGGAGGGAGTGCGCAACAGGGGGAGGGGAAAGCGCATGCCATTCTATCCTTGGGGGCGCACTGGGCACGTCCCTGCAAGCGTTCTGGGGGCGCTCCCTGTGCGCCCTAGGCACGCTCCCTGGAGCGCATTTGGATCGCGCTGGGGAAGGCGCTGGGGGCGTACCGGGTGCGCTCCCTGGGGTGCATTGTGATCGCGCTGGGGGAGGCGCTGTGGTCACACTGGGGGCGCTCCTTGTGGTGCATTGGGAGCGCCCTTCAGGGTACCATATGCCATAGGGGCGCCCTGGGAGCGCATTCTGAGCGCCCTGGGAGAGCTCCCTGTGGCCGCAATGGAAGTGCTGGAGCGCACTGGGAACGCTCCCTGGGAACTCCGTGGAAGCGCCCTGGCAGCGCTCTGGGCACGTGTCCTGGGAGCTCATTGGCAGCGCCCTGAGAGCGCTCCCTGTCCCTGGGAGCGTTCTGTGAGCGCCCTGAGAGCGCTCCCTCTTGTGCGCCATGCTGGAGCGCACTGGGCGCTCACTTGGATCGCGCTGGGTGCGCTCCGTGGAGAGGGGGCGCTCCTGGGCACGCTTCCTGGGGATTCGCTGGGGGCGCCTTGCGAACGCTCCTTGCGAGCGCTCCCCGTGCGCCCTGGGGGCGCCCTGCGAACGCTCCTTGCGAGCGCTCCCTGGGGCGCTCTGGGGCCCCACTTCGGGCGCCCTCGGAGCGCGCTGAAGGGCGCCTTGGGGGCGCTCTCTGGAGCGCGTTGGGGGAGCCTTGCGATCGCTGCCTGCGTGCCCTGGGCGCGTTCCTAGAGCGCACCAGCAGTTCACTGTGTGTCCCCCGCGGGCCCTTCTGTGAGTGCCGTGGAGGCGCCCCCTGGCGCGCCGTGAGGGCGCCCTGGGCGCCCCCTGGGTGGGGCGTCCTGGGGGCGCCCTGGGTGCGCCCCATACGAGTGCAATGCTGCGCATTCGGATCGCGCTGGGTGCAGTCCTCTGAGCAGGGGCGCTCTGGGAGCGCTCTGGGAATTCTTGACGCTTCGCGCGACCCCACCAGCTTCGCTGTTTTTGTCCTTCGCTACGGCACGGTCTGCCCTAGCGTCCTCGGCGTTCGACTTGCTACGCGCGCCCGCGTACCAAAACAAGTGACCCCACCAGCCCATCCAGCGACGATGCCCAGCGGATTTGCCTCGATCAGGGTAGTGGGCAGCACGCAGGTGAAGAGTCCCTCTTGGAGCGCTCTTGGGACACTCTTGGGCGCTCTTGGGGCCGTCTTGGGGCTCAGTTGGGCCTCTCTTGCGTCTTGCGGGTCTCTTGGCGGTCCCAGGGGCCTCGTGGAGCGTTTCGGGGGGCCTCTTGGGGCCTCTTGGGGGTCTCTTGGAAGCCTCTTGGAAGCCTCTTGGGCGCCCCTTGGGGCCTCCTGGGCGCCTCTTGGACCTTCTTGAGGCGCTCGCGGGGGCCTTGGGGGCGCTCTGGGGGCCATGTTGGAGGACATCGATCAAACAAGAGGGGGGCATCAACTAGCGCTGCCCCTTGGGACCCCCCACAGTTGCCTCTTGGGGCGCTCCTGGGGCGCTTTTGGAGCGCCCTGGGGCGCTTTTGGATATTGAGCCATCTTGGGGGTCATCTTGGACTCTCTGGGGTCCCTTGGGGGCCATTCGGGGGCCTTTCGGGGGCCTCTCGGAAGAGGGCCCTCTTGGGACCTCTTGGGGCGCTCGTGGATCCCTCTTTGGGGCCTCTGGGGGGCCCTGGAAGGCATCTTGGGGCCATCTTGGAGGCGGTCGGTCAAACAAGGGGAGATGATTGATTCCCCCCCCCACCCCCCTCCCCCCTCCCCCTCCCCCATTGGGTGCCGCGATCCTGGTGAGGGGTGGCGAACAATGGCCTTCCCAATGACAGAAAAAAGGAGCCTCCGACACATCGCGGAACTTAGAAAAATAGAGGTGGGAGGGGAGGGCCCTCTCGCCGAAGGGAACAGGTGTTGTGGACGAGGAAAGAGGCCCTCGTTTGACCACCTGTCGCCCAGAGGGCTGGTGGGACCCCCTGGGCAGCTCTAGTAGGATTCTACGATTGAAGTGCCCTTCCCGGGCCTCGCACCTTTTTTTTTATCAGGGAAAGTCTTCAAACTGCGTTGTTGCCCCCCCCGGTTTACAACAACAACAACAACAACAACAACAACAACAACAACAACAACAATCATTTAAGACTGGGGACACTCCGTTCTCACCAGTGCCAGGGTTTTCATAGGAGGCGGGCAATACCCCCACTTTGTGGGGGGGGCGGTTCAAGCTCTACCAAGTTTCCAAACGACTCTTCGCCACCACCCACACCCAGCTTCCCGCCCTATGACGTTCGGACACTTCACTTCGTGGCCTGCGGACGACCTTGGCTACTACACTGGCGCATGGGTACAGTGACTTGTTGTGGTAACATTTTGTGGAAGCTAGCTTAGTATACGACTTTTCCCCCTGTTCCAACACTGGACACCTGTACCGTTTTCCGACGTTTTTCCGTTTCTGTTCCACACAAGCGAAGACACTTATTTTGAGTGGTACCACGTGCGTGGCGCCAGCATACCACAGGACTTGTTTCCGTTGTTGTGAGACGATACATGCTCATTCTTGTTCTGTGGTTGTCGTTCCGGCCTCAATGTGCAATACTGGCTCATTCGTCTACGAAATACACGTGACTAGCTCTCTCTGGTTGGAGGTCCTGATGGTTGTGGTTGTCCCGATGGTTGCCTTGCACGCCTGGTGACTGACCTGGA